CAGACAGAGAGACATGAAGCAGGAGCTGAAAGAAGAGGCCAGATTGAAGAGATCCTGGTATGATACATTAAGGGAGCTGGATGTCATCCAGTAGGCAATGGAGATCCAAAGCAGGGTTTTCATGGGGGGATGGATGGCATAGTTAGGATGTAATTTTAGAAAGATCATTTTGACAGACAAGTGAAGGAAGAATATGAATGGCACAAACTAGAGGCAGAGAAGCTAATAAGAATCTGCATCAGAGAGTAAGAGAGTGATTCTTTCCAGAAAAATCATTACAATTCTTATGTTTGAACCTACATATTTGAATCTAGTATGTTCAAATACCTACATACTTACTATGTAGATTCAAATATAAGAATAAAATCAGCAGAACTAGATATGAACTGAGAGTGTGGTAAAGATATGAAGGAAAAGAAGAGAAGGGGAACAGATCCAGGTTTCTGCTCCAGCAGAGGCAGAACTAAAACACTGAATAATTAGGGGAAAACCATCTTGAGAACAGTCTAGGACAAGTGAAGGCTATAAAACATCTATGGTGACAATAACTTAATAGTGAAATTAAGTGAAATGTGACAACATAATTCTCAGGAGAGCTGCTTGGTCTGAATACATGAAAAAGTGGGAATAAGGTGGACAGTTTGTAACTACAGTTCAGGAAACATGTGATCAAGTCCTGAGCCAGAGGTTTCTTAAATACTATATACTTTACTGTACACAAATTATCCACAATGCAAAGGAAAACACAAAGACACAGAGAAACCACACAACACAGAGGAAAAGACGATCTCAAATCTTGGTCAGCAGATAAAATGTAGTCTCTCTGCCAATCTAGAAAACAAATTAAAACTGAAAATTAAGTTTAAGCTTAATGAGGGGTTTTTACCTCGGTATTTAAGGAAAAAGGAAAGCAAGAAAGTCACGTTCCATGTTCTCACGCCCATCCCGTTTCCCCTGAGCAAGTCCTTAACCTAGTAAAGCCTTGCTGAGTCTCCGGTGCAGCAGGTCTTAGCTCCTCCTCTCACAAGTACCATTCCTATTCCTAGGGAAATATCCTCATCTATGCAGTTCTCAACACACAGGCCTTGCTCAGGTCTCCCCAACCTATTACCATTATTATAATCCATTTTCTCAGTCATATTTCCCCATGATTATCTACCTCTTCATTAATCCACATGCCTTGAATTCCATCGCTGGGGATGCCGAGGGAAGAAGATCTCTGTCAGTATGAAGTCAGCCTAGCCTACATAGAAAGTTCCAGACCAATCAGGGCTATACAGTGAAACTTTAGTGGGGGACCCAAAACACAAAAACATACAAGTCTTCTTTGAGTCTTAGTTTCTAAAGTCTAGACAAAAATCAATGCTGAAAAAAAATGGATGTGTATGCTTTTCTTTTATAGAGTTTATAGAGTCCTTAGCCATGAACTCAATATAGGAAGAAAAAATGTTTACTCTCCTCCCCCCGTTAGAAATGAGGTAACCACTGAAGAAATCAGCAAAAGTGGTTTTGATGAGATAGAGAAGAGAAGCAGTTAGATACAGCAGTTAAGAAGTAGAATTAGGGGATGGAGAGGTGATTCAGTCGTTAAAAGCACTGGCTGTTCTTCTTGAGTTCAATTCCCATCAACACATGGTGGCTCACAGTTGCCTAGAGTGATCTGATGCCTTCTTCTGGCATGCAGGTGTACATGCAGATAGAGCACTCATGTGCATAAAAAGAAATCCTTAAAGAAAAGAAAAATGGAATCACTGAGAATAGAAGGATTTTGAGAATTTTTTTTCATATACTAGGGAACTAAACCCAGTCTTTTTGTTTTTTCATTTATTTGTTTTTCAAGAGAGGGTGTCTCTTTGTTACAGTTCTAGCTGTCCTGAAACTCACTTTGTAGACCAGGCTGGCCTCTAATTCAGAGATCCACCCGCCTCTGCCTCCGAGGCGCTAGGGTTAAAGGTGTACATAACCAACACCAGGCTCAAACCCAGGGTCTTATGTATGCTAAACATGTACTCTACTACTGAGATATACCCCTAGCCTGGGCAATGTTATGAAGAAGGGATGAAAATCAAATATAAGATTGGAGAGAAAAAAAATTAAATCTTTCAAGTTTTTTAAAAAAATTTTTCAAATGAGTAAAAAGCCTGTTTCTGTGAAACTGTACTTAAGTCCACATATATGTACATATTAGCACTTGTGTATGCACATATATGTGACAGCCAGACTACTTTTGAGGTAATCCACCACTAAAGCTGGAGTGCACTGATTAGGCTGGTTGACCAAGCCATGAGCTCCATGAAGCAGCTGTCCCTGCCACTGGAGACTTAAAATAAAGGCATGCTCTGCTGCACCTGTTTTAGAGGGTGGCTGGGCCCTCATTTCAAACTCAGGCACTCATTTCAGCACAGAAAGCCGATAAATCAACTGACCCATCTCCCAAGCCAGATTATGAAGGAACATTTTTTAATTAGTAAAAGAACAGGGGACTCCAATTGTAGCTATCAACGGAAAATATAGTATTTCTAATATATCTGAGAAATACTAAGCTAGTCAAATTCTTTTAAATTTTAAAATTTATTTTTATTTATGTTCATATGTGTCCGCCTGCTTATCCAAATGTGTTCCCCATGCATGAAGGTGCTCATGGAGGCCAGAAGAGGGTGTCAGATCCCCTGGAATCAGAGTTTCAGATGACTGTGAGCCATAGTCAACAAGTACTATTAACTGTTGAGCCATGTCTCCAGCCTCATTGAGAACAATAATGCAATGTAGGCCAAGGCAAGTAAAGAACTATCAGCCAAAGAAAATAGGGTGTGCAGGGTTTTTTCCTGAACAATGTCTCAAAAAAAATTGTCACTCTCTGCCTTTAATACCTCCTCCTTTGTTTGAATTAGTTTTTATTTACTTAATCTTCATGGGCCTGCTTAAACTCTACCTTACAAAGTCCAGGATGCTGATGAGGGAAGTGTTCCAATCAGAGTTTAAAAAAATGACTAGAGAGAGAGAGGGAAAGGAGTGGGGGCAGGAGGGAAGGAGTGGGGGGAGGGAGAGGAAAATGGGAGGCAGGGAGGAGGCAGAAATTTTTTCAATAAAAATAAAATAAATACTTTTAAATGCAAAAATAAAAAATTGATCTGCTTCTAAACACACTCGGGGCATGTGCCAAAGTTGAAATTAGGACCTTTTCTTTCATTCATGTCCTTTCAATTAAGGTATTACCTTCCTTAATTATGTATATAATTTAAGGTTACCGTAAAGCCTTACAAATTAAAAAAATTAAATGATGGAGTCATAGTAAGATCTAAGGTAATAATCCTGAAAATTTGGGGTTCAACTATAACTTTACCTGTGAAAGTCAAGTACCAACAAGTATTTGGTTGTGCAAGTAAAATTACAGATGTCAACCACTATTTATTCTGTGGAAAAGCTGTCAGTCACTAAGTAGGATCTCTTTCCACAGTACACATTCATTTCAGCCTCTGCCAGTGGAAGTGTGAGAGCAGATGTTGGCAGACTGTGACATACAATATGTCTTTAAAACTTGTTGGGGTGTGAAATTTCATAAGGTCAAAAAATGTTGCATTTTGATCAGCAGATAGAGATTTTTCTGCACTTTCAGAAATTATTTATGACAAACCAATAGAACTGCTCGTAAAATAAATAAACTATTTAGGCAGTACATGGAAACTGCTTAAAAGATTAATTTCTATCACCTTAATAAACAACTGTTCAACCAAAATACCTTTAGACTGAAAATACATATCTTAAAACAACTTAAAAACTCAAAAGATACTGTTCAAATTGTCAAAATGATTTAAAATAATTTCTTTCTTAGTAGAGCAATTAATATATAATGAACATGTTTTGATGCTGAAAAGGCTGTTTTCCTTAATACACACATGTACAAGCACATACAAAAAATGTGCATGTATAATTTATATCATGACAGGGAGCTTTCATTTCAAAAATAAAAAAAAATCCACAAGAAAATTTCCTGACATGAATGAAGAGGGTTTCAAATTAGTTCTCAGGGAGGATCTGGGAGACATATCCAAGAGGGCAACGGGCATGATCAAAACATGTTGCATATAAAAAACTTTTAGATAAAAAACCTGGAATAATAAAGTTAGTATTCTACAATTATTTGTAATTCCATATTCTTTTAGGTTTATTTTTAAAACTGAAAATAAAGTTTGAAGTTCCTATAAGGTAAAATTAATTTTGTAATACTTAAATGTTTTATAAGATTTTCTTTATAAGATTTATAAGGTTCATAATTATGTTTATAAACTTCAGTTTTACCTCCAATTTTTTTCAACTATATCTAACAGATAAAATCCAATTAAAACAGAGTACAGGAGATTGTCTAGTTAAAATTTTTATCTCTACCTAGTTCTTACATACTCAAATTTGAACTTAAAAAATGCTCTATCTAAATTAGCACAGCAAGATCCTTTTATTGGATCAGTTAAGTATAAGCCATTTAAGAGCTTGGTCATAACATGAAAATAAGTATAAAAATAATCAATGTTAATATTATCACAGTCATTTTGTTAGCTATTAATAAGAAATACAACTATAACTAAAAATATAAAATAATTTTAGAAAATGACTTCTAATAGAAAACATTTCTATAATCAATCAACCAACCAAACACTGCGACGGAATTCTGGAGGAAATATAGTAAATAGCATAAGATATTAGGCCCAATTTTACAGTTCCTTATGCTTATTTTATAATGAAAAACATAAGACACATAGTTGGGCAATTATATTTTTCATATTCAAACTCTAAATATAAAAATAATAAAACTATATTGCACTGCATAAGATTGAAGTCTCTATCTTAAAGAGCTGAAAATTCTTGCAGAGTTTATAATTTCTTTGGAATTAAATGTAAACCTAAACTTTTGTACTGGTTTTTCAGATACATTAACACATATGACACATAAAGCCATGCAAATAAATGAACCCAAGATGAATTAACAATTGTTATATACTTACTTGCTACAGAAAAGTTGTTGAGGGGATAAGGTAAGTCCACATCTTGAGGTTTCTCTTTATAGCCTATGAATGAACCATCTGTCTTCAAAAGGAAATATCTTGGCCTCCAATTTTTTATATATTCTCCTACATGAAGAAAGCATACATTAATGCCAAAAAATGAAGTCACTTTTGTGTAACAAGTAAATTATGATATAACATGTCCTGAACAGTGGCCTTCAAAATTTTAGTGAGGCAATTTTTTTAACTTGACTTACAAAAGAAAGTCTATAATTAAAATTCAATAAAAACCAAAACAGTTAGTTGTTTTTAATAATTTAATACTTTGATTACTCATCTGCACCATTTCTCCTTCAGAAAATCATTCACCTGAAGACACATTTTGTTCATTTTTTTACTTTATCAGACAGCTGTTATAGCATATTTTCAGCCATTTTAAAAAGCACTGGTGAATAACCCACAATATATTTGTGAATTTCAGGGGAAAACACATCATAATCACAGTGTAAAATGCATGTTCCATCTTCATGACGAATAATAATACTTTTCATTTTTCAAAAAAGGGGGAAGAGTAATTCCTTTTAATTTTTAAGACAGAGTCTCACTGCTATATAGACCAAGTTGCTTCAAACTTTCAATTTTCTAGCCTCAGCCTCCAGGGTACAGGATGATTATAGGGTATATTTTCATGATAAATATTAACCTTAACTTCCTCTACTAGGAAAATAACCTTTTCACACATGCGATGAACAAGTCACAAAAATGAAAGAACATGAATTAATAAAGCTCAAAACCACATCAAACTTACATATAGAAACATACAGTCATTACAGAGTATAACTAATAGGAGATGAATGTACACTTACTAGATGTACATATTCGCTCCTACCTATCCACCAAAATATGCTCAAATTTGAAACAGCAGAGGTGATTGCATGACACCTTAACAACTTAATAGGAAACCAGGGACAGCAGTTCACACTTGTTGTCTTAACACTTGAGGAAGCTGAAGCAGGAGTATCAACATAAATTCCAGACCTTCCTGAGCTACAAAGCAAGACTGGGTGGTGGTGGTGGGGGGAGTGAATGAGTAAGGAAAGAAAAGGGGGGGGGAAGAGGAAGAAGAAAAAGCAGAGGAGAGGGTTACAGAGGCAGAGGTAAAATGGATCTCAGTGAATTCAAAGTCAGCCTGGTCTACAAAGAGAGTTCCAGGACAAACAGGGCTACATAGTGAGATCCTGTCTCAAAAACAAAACAAAACCAACTCATTACATTTAATGTAACATATATACATTAAAAACCTATTTTATCAGCCAGTGTGGTGTCATGTACATGTAATCCCAGGACTAGGACCACAAGTTTAAAGCTACATCCTGTCTTTTAGTAAGAAGAATAGCACTGTATAGCTTTTTTAAAAATACTTATCTCTTAAAAATACAACTTTACTGGAATTATTTTCTACTAATGCATTCAATCTATTAAAGTATGTTGTTATGGTTGAAACGTAAGAAGAAAATGCAATCAGGTAACTGAAAAAGGAAGACTATTCATACAGCTATGGGCAGTGCTAGGATTACAAGTGTATGCCCCCATGCTGGCTCAGAAAATAGTAGGAATGGATACTACACTGGAATGCAAAATAAGGGATTGTTTCTAAAATATTAATGGTGATGTGAAATTTGCAACTTTATCAATAAGTGAATTCCCCTTTACTCAGATTTCACCTTGAATAACTCTTGTACACTGTACACAATTTTAAAAATATACATTAATCATAAAAAGATTGGTTTACTGACTTCAGCAGTTCAGCTTTCATAGTTGAAATACCTTATATAGCAAGTTGTATTTGTTACCATTAACTGATTTCATTTTTTAAAAATCTCTTTTTAAAGTACTGGGAAGATTCAAAGCTCATGATAGTGGACATATTTTCAAAATTCTAATCTTTGTTCTTGGAGCTCATTTTCATTATTCTAACAAAAACTGCCAGTATTTCTTTCTTGCAGTGATATACTCTAGAACCCCCTACTTAATAACACTTGACTGGTAGTCACATTAAATAAATGAGAGATACATATATTTGACACATGTATACATGTAGATAAAAAAAGTTTCACACATGCATACACAAACACACACATACCTGATGCCCTCTCCACTTTTACTATAAAAAAATAAAAGTTCTATTCTTAGCAACTACATGATTTAAATTTATAAAATCAAAGTACCTAAATTCACAATTCCTATTAAAAGACATAAAGCAGTTCCTTTGTTGACTGCCCTCATTATTTGATTCTTACATATTTAGTTATGCATTCCAATATAATTTTACATTATAAGGTGTTAAATCCCCAATTAATGATGCAGCATTTAGATTCCAAAGGCTATTGCTAGCAAGAACAGATTTATGCTAAAGCAATATGTCTATCAAGCTGAATAGCAAGTGATAATTTCATAATCATACCAAAGATAAAATAAAACAAATACATTTGAAAAATATTGAAAGATCAAATCATAAAACAGAATCATTTCTTCGCATGCAAAACTGAACTGAGAGACTTATATGGAAATATAAAACTTTAAAAAAATCAAAATTTTATTTCTAAACCTAAATTTACATGTTCAGATGATATTTTTTAAAAAAACACAAATACCTTTATCTTTTAAATTAAGGTATCTTTAGAATTTAAAAAATCTGATGTGACTTACAGTAGGTCTTATAGCTATCAAAAGTTTTGTGAACAATGAATCTATTATACATTCTTTAAGAAAAATGCATTATATCCAGTCAGGGATAAACTTAAGTATACCAAAGAAAAAAATGGAAAAAACAAAAATCTCTCTTCCACTAATAAAGTATGCAGTATTCTTCAAAATATTTTATTAATAGCTTTAATTGATTCACATAATCAGCAACTGAGCTAGCCACTAAACTAAAAGTTAGTGTCAATTTTCAATCAAGATTCCTAATTTGCTTTCTGTTTTCCTGTCATTTTCTATCTAAAATAAGAATGAACTTGCAGTATCTTTATTCAGTCGCTTACTTAGTTCTAGGTGCTGAGAACACAAGTTGGAACCCATCCCCTACCACCAAAGAGAAAGAAAAAAACTCTAACTTCACGGTCCTTAGTCAGTATTCCACCAGATTTCAGTATGCCTTATAAACGCCTGGAGAAGGGTGATAAATATTTTCTGGGAGGCAGAGTAGGGAACAAAAAAATCTCTTTTACAGGTTCCCACAAAAGTTCTGAAGAAAAATTCGTATTTCAGCATGGTGTATTGACCTTTTTAAATACACCTTTTCTAGTTCCAAGAACGATTCCAAGAAGATCGATTCTTACAGAGAACACAAACTCAACAAACATGAGTAAATTAAAAAAAAAAAAAGCCACTTTGTAAGGCCCAATATAGAGGAAAAAATTCCTAGCCTGAAACAATGGCATTATTTTGGTAAAAGTACTCCTACAGCCTAAGAATTCCCAACTGGGTCTTTTCTAGCTGATCTTGGAAAAATAACTGGATACCTCTGTCACTACTGCAGTTTTTTCAGTAATGAGAGTTAAGATAAAGAAGGTACCACAAGACTGCTCAAATGAAGTAGAAACAAAACATCCAAGATTTTAAGGAGCTATATGCCTAGAACAAAAGAACTATTTCTGTAATCAATCCTAAATATAAGCTGCTAACAACCAGCCAAAAGGCTTTTGTTTGTAGGGTGTGGGTGTGGGTGCGCGCACGAATACGTGCATGCGTGCATATGATCAGAGTGTACATGAAGGCCAGCAAGAGAGACGGCTAAATCCTTCTGTCTCTGCAACCCAAATACTGGGATTGTAGGTCTGAACCACTGCACCCAGCTCTTAACACGGATGCTGAGGATCTGAACTCAAGTCCTTTTGTTTATATATCAAGTACTGTACAGACTAAGCCATCTTCCCAGTGCCCATTTATTATTATTATTATTATTATTATTATTATTATTATTATTTTGGTTTTTCAAGATAGGGTTTCTCAAACTTACAGAGCTCCGCCTGCCTCTGCCTCCCTGAGTGTTGGGATTAAAGACGTGTGCCACCACTACCCAGATCCATAATCTTATTTTTAAAGATAATACTTGCATTTAAACTCATACTCAATACATCAAACCCAAATTATCTTTCTTTTGTACTTATGCTCATAAATTTCAACTAATTTAGGAGACAGCTTCTTTATGACTGAAACAAAATTTCAAAAAAAAACAAGAAATTTTTCTAGGGTCACTCACTAATAAGCATTCAAATTTTAGAGGAACTCTCCTGATATGCCTTCAATTAACACTGTAAGAAGAAAGGGATAAACTTTCCAGCCCAACCTTTTCCTAACTTCTTATCTACTAGACCATGTGCTGCTGCTTCTTGCTTACCCTCTCTGACTACGGGTTCTATCTACTTTGAAATCCATTGTTACCAACCCACACAGTCAGGCTTTGCCTATTGTCAGATACGATCTCTGTTACACGTCCTTAGCTAATTTTGTCATTATGTGGTTAGCATACAAATCTAGATCATACAGTCTACCACATAGCTAATCCCTGCCCCTGTGTGTATAATGTGTGTGTGTGTGTGTATATATATATATATATATATAGTCTATTGCCCCTAGGATTAAAATGAACAAAACATAAGATTACATCAAGACCAAGAAGAAATGGTGCAATTGAAAGCCAGGATAAATAAACAAACATTACTGGTGACCAAAGAAATTGTACTATTTTACAGTGTGGATTTTTTAATTAATTAGAAGTGACTTTAAAAATGATTAAAATCATATTATTGAAAAATATACCAATACCCATCAAGTTGTTATCAAGTCAAGTATATTATATATAATTATGGAAATTTTTTTTGTTGTTGTTTTTCAAGACAGGGTTTCTCTGTAGCTTTGGAACCTGTCCTGGAACTAGCTCTTGTAGACCAGGCTGGCCTTGAACTCACAGAGATCCGCCTGCCTCTGCCTCCCAAGTGCTGGGTGAAAGTGTGCACAACCACTGCCTAGCTATGGCAATTTTTTTGCACAACCAACTACCAAGATTTGTTTATACCAAAAGCAGCATGACTACATAAGTAATGAATTTTACTATACATTAT